GCGCTTTGCTGCTCAGCAAATGGTGTGGCTTTTCGAATGGATTGGTAGTTGCTGCTTTTCTGCTGCTGCTTTTCTGCTGCTGCCGCTTTGTGCTGCTGTTCTGCTGCTGCTGCGGCACTAGCTGCTGCTGCTGCTGCTACGCGAACTGTTTTGCTCAGTTCCCTGCTGCTGCTGCTGCTGCAGGTTGGCCGCATGGCGTGGCTCTCTGTTGCTGCTCTGCCGCCAGGGATTTCTTCTGACTTCTTCTTTCTAGCTGTCAACGCCCGCATGCGTGCGGGCCTGCAGCAGCAGCAGCAGCAGCAGCAGCAGCGACAGCAACAACAGCAGCAGCAGCAACAGCAGCAGCAGCAACCGACGGGGGAGCGGGAAGCGCAGCAACAGCAAGGCAAGCAGCAGCAGCCGGAGGAGCACGAGAAGGACCAGCAGCAACCGCCACAGGAACCACAGTCGCAGCAGCAGCAGCAGCAGCAGCAACAGAGCCTAAGCTTGCTTGCCGATGTGCTGCACCCTTTTAGCCATGACTCCCTGAGGGGGCAAATGCCCTTTCTTAGAGACCGAGCCCTTCTTGAGTTCATCAGCAGCAAACTTGCTGCTGCACCAAGTGAGATAGCAGCAGCAGCAGCAGCAGTAGGGGTGGCAGCAGCAGCTGCAGCAGTTGGGCTGGCAGCAGCAGCAGCAGAACAGCGCATTTTGCTTTGCATGCAGTTGCCGCAGCGGCACTTGTGGCGGCCACAGCACCACTAGCAGCAGCAGTAATAGTAGCAGCAGCAGCAGTAATAGCAGCAGCAGCAGCAGCAGTAATAGCAGCAGCAGCAGCAGCAACAGCAGCAGCAGCCCCGGTGCAAATGCCTTATGCTTGTTTGCGCAGATACTCCCCGAGACATTCTAGTGAAGCTTTTGCATGTATACACTGGAATACCTGGCAAGTGCTGCTGCTGCTGCTTCTGCTGCTGCTGCTGCTGCAGTTGCTGTTGGTGCTGTAGCCGCTGCTGCTGCTGCAGTTGCTGTTGATGCTGTAGCTGCTGCTGCTGCTTTGGCGGCCGTGGCGAACTACTGCTGCTGCTGCTGTTGCTGCTGCTGTTGCAGACGCAGATGTGAAGCGTTGCTGCTGCTGGCATTTTTGCCGCTGCCGTCGCTATTGCTGCTGTACTCCTTATTGCTGCTGCTGCTGCTGCTGCTGCTGCTCAGAGGCCCGCGACTTGCTGGGCGTCTTGCTGAGTCGAATCGACGTTTCCTTTCAGCAGCTTCCGGACTCCCGTAAGAGCTGCAGCACTTGGCTAGCTGCTAGCTAGCTGCTAGCTAGCTGCTAGCTAGCCGCTAGCTAGCTGCTGGCTAGCTGCTAGCTAGCTGCTAGCTAGCTGCTGGCTAGCTGCTGGCTAGCTGCCAGCTAGCTTCTAGCTAGCTGCTAGCTAGCTGCTGGCTAGCTTCTAGCTAGCTGCTAGCTAGCTAGTTGTTAGCTAGCTGATAGTACTTTGAGCACTGTTAGCCTGTAGTTGGGCCGCTGGGCTCACAGGAGCAGCAGCAACAGCAGTAGCAACAGCAGCAGCAGCAGCAGCAGCAGCAACACCAGCAGCAAGTTGCGGTGCGTGCTTCTCAGTTGTTGCCGACGTTAGTTCTGCTGCTGGGGGCCTGCCACCCCGCAGCGCAGCAGCAGCAGCAGCAAAAGACAATTTGATTGCAGCAGCAGCAAAGCTGCATCCCCAAGCTCTTGCCGAAGCAACGGTTGCCTTGGCAGGTGCTGCTGCTGCTACTGCTGCTGCTGCTGTTGCTGCTCTCCTTGCTGCTGCGATTGCTGCTGCTGCTTCTGCTGCTGTTCTCCTAGCTGCCTTGCTTTGCAGCAGAAGCTGCTGCTGCTGCTGCTGTCTCAATCGCTGTGGCTATTTGCTGCGCTGCTTCTCCTCTTCTCCTGTTGCTGCTGAGGTAGCTGCTACTGCCAGATTTGTTGGTGCTGCTGCTGCGGCAGCTGCAAAGTTTGCTGCAGGGCTTTTGGGCTCTTTGCTGCCGTTGCTGCTGCTGCTGCTGCAGGGCATATGGGTGCAGAAGAGCTGCTGAGGCTTTCTGAATTGCTGCAGCCAGCTGTGGGGTCGCTGCAGCAGCAGCAGCAGCTCTCGCTGCTGCTGCTGTACAACGAAAGATGTGTAGCTGCTAGGTCCTTGCTGCGGTCTTTAGAAGAAGTAAACCCTAAACCCTAGTTTCTAAACCCCAGAACAGCAGCGAAGTATTCTAGATGCTGCTGCTTCAGGGCTGCTTGCTGCTGCTAGCGGCGCTTGCTGCTGCAGCCCGCTGCTGCTGCTGCTGGCTTCTCGCCGCTGTTGCTGCTGCTGCTCGTACAGCGTTGCTGCTGCTGCTGCTGCTGTTCTGCTGCAGCGTCTTCTGCGGAAAGGGGCTTCGTTGGGGGGCCGATTGCTGCCGCTTCTTGCTGTTGCCTGCTGCAGCAGCAACAGCAGCAGCAGCGCAGTGCTGCAGCAGCTGCACTCCGCCCTGTGCGATGCGCTCCGCAGCAACTCCATTTCCATCGAAGGGGTAATTGCTGCATTTGTTGCTGCTGCTGCTTCTGTTGCTGCGTAGGCTGCTGCAGGCTGCTGCTGCAGCAGCAGCAGCAGCAGCGGCAGCAAAGTAGCCTATTACCACTGCCAGGGCGCTGCTCCGTGTGCTGCAGCCCGTAGATACTGTGCTGCTGTTGCTGCTGCTGCCGCTGCTGCTGCTCTCGTGGCACTCTCGCTCGGGTGCGTGTGCTTGTGCGTAGCTTTTGCTGCTATGGCTGCTGCTGCTGCTGCTGTTCCTGCTGCCGCGGCTGCTGCTGCTGCTGCCACCGCTACTGCTGCTAGCCTTGTTGCTGCTCCCCACGCTGCTGCTGCTGCTGCTGCTGCTGCGCGCAGGCAGTGGAGTGCGTTGTATCTCTTTCTGTGGCTGGCTGGCCCTGCGAAGCTGCGCTATCTCTTCTGAATTTGCCGGAGACTCTTTTGCTGCTGGACGCTGCTGCTGTTGCTGCTGTTGCCTGGGCTGCTGCAGCGCAGCACGTCAAAGAGAAGCACATCTGGACAGCTCTTGCTGCGGCGTCAGTCAACGCTTCCGCTGCTGCTGCTGCTGCTGCTGCTCCTGTTTCAAGCCATGTGCTGCTTTTTGTCAGCGGTGCTGCTGCTGCTGCTGCTGCCATATCTTAGTGCTGCTATTGTTGCGAGTTTGGCTACGCGTTGTTGCTGCAGCTGTTGGCCTCTGCTGCAGCACTGTGCGCCGCAGGAGTGCAGCTGCTGCTGCCGCCTCTGCTGCTCTTGCTGTTGCTGCAGCAGCAGCAGCAAACTCTTGACTTGCTGACCCCTGCTGCTTGGTTTTCTGTGCTGCAGGGCCCCCCGCGTGCTGCGGGGAGGCCCCCCAGCTGTGCATTATTATGAGGCCCTAATGGCTGCATGCGTTTTGGGGCTGCATGCGCTGGAGGTTCCGCTGCTGCCGCTGCAGCAGCAGCAGCAGTGGCGGCGTGCTGCAGCAGCGTGGCAGCAGCACGAGTCGTGGAAGGCAGCAGCAGCGCGGGAGGAGCAGCAGCAGCAGCGGGGGCCCCCCTACCGTTTGCTGCTGCAGCACTTAGGCATCGATTTTGCTGCTGCTGTGCCCACCTGTCTATACACTGCGCCATTTCTCATCAATTCCCTCAACCTCATTTTGGAGCCCCTCAAGACTTCTCCTATACACTTGGTAAATTGCTGCTGCTGCTGCTGCTGATGCTGCTGATGCTGCGCATGTGGTGCTGTCGATGCTGGTGCTTGTGTGGTTGCTGTGCTGCTTTGCTGCTGTTGCTGCTGCTGCTGCCCGCGTGTGCTGCTGCTACTGCAGCGTTTGCTGCTGCTGCTGCTGCTGTTGCTGCTGCTGCTGCTGCAGCAGCCCGCATATGTGGGGTTTCTGTTTGCTTGTGTACCTGCTTGAGCCGCTCTTTCCTGCTGGGCTTGACGCTCCTACTTTCACTGCTGCTGCTGTTGCTGCTGCTGCTGCTGCTGCAGGGCAGCGGCCTGCAAATGGGAGAAGTGGCTTTGCGTCACCGCGTGTGGAGCGCCTTGGGGTTTAACACTTTGACTTTAATGGACAGCGAGTTCGACAGGTTTTGTTTGCATGCGCCCGAGGTGTACGTACACCCGGCAGCCCCGGGTGTACGTACGCAGCAGCAGCAGCAGCAGCAGCAGCAGCAG